CTCCTCCTTTCTTTCCCCTTCCCATCCCCTCCCATCCTCCCCCTGCCCTCCCACCCAAACCTCCTCCCCCTCTCCACCCCCCCACCAAAGTTGTAAAGTTTGTTTTCGATGGAATGATTTGTACATCTCATTATTACAATGGGTCCACCTGTATCCCTATTTAAACGATTTGTTTTTTCCCTTCCCCTCCACAAATTATAAGCTCATTACTCTTAACTCTCTTTTTTGTTGTTGGTGGTGGTCATGGGGATTGAACACTGGGCCTGGGCGCTGTCCCTCAGCAATTCAGCTCAAGACTAGCACTGTACCACTTGAGCCACAGCACTACTTCTGGCTTTTTCTGCTTATGTGGTGTTGAGGAATTGAACCCAGGGCCTCATGCATGCAAGGCAAGCGCTCTACCACTGAGCCACCTTTCCAGCCCTAATTTTTTTTTTTTTTTGGTCAGTCGTTGGGCTTGAACTCGGCCTGGGTGCTGTCCCTCAGCTCTTCAGCTCAAGGCTAGCGCTCTACTGCTTGAGCCAGAGCACCACTTCCGGTTTTCTAGTGGGTTTTTATTGGAGAAAAGAGTCTCATGGACTTTCCTGCCCAGGCTGGCTTTGAACCGTGATCCTCAGATCTCAGCCTCCTGAGTAGCTAGGATGACAGGCGTGAGCCACCGGTGCCCAGCCCAGTCCTCTTATTTGATTTTTATGTTAAGATAACAAGAAGCTGTATGTGGAGACTGGACCTAGAGTGGAGGAGCTGCCAGGTGGACTCTCTTAATCCCCTCACAGCCTTCTGAGGAGGGGTGCTGCCACAGGACCCCGAAGGTCTAAGGTGACAGTGGCCTCCCTGGCTAGAGAGCAGGACTGCCTGGCGCCCTGCTTGCTGCACCTTGTGCTGGCGACTTCTCTGCCTGGCACGGCACAGGTGCCCAGGAACTGTGAACGGAATGGCTTTGTCTTCCCAGGGCAATGACCTGGATTGCTGATTTATTCCCAGGAGTTGGTGAGAAAGGCCTGGAACCGGCCCAGAGGCCTGAGGGCAGGTGCTCTGCAGGCGGAGTGGTGGCAGCAGGCCCAGAGGAGGCCCAGTCTGGGAGCCCAGGGCTATCACAACGCTGGCCTGGGCTTGGCCTGGGCTTGACTGATAGTTCTACGGTGAGGGTAGGGAGAGAGCAGAGAGGGACAGCCCTTAAGCCATCAGCTGACAGGTGTGGCCACAGGGAGCTCAAATCTCCAACCTAGCTGTCAGGTTCATTCTTACTAGGTTTGGGCAAAGGAGGGAGTAGCTGTTAGTTCTAGCCTAGGACCCCAGAAACTAGTCTTGCTGACCAACAGGGCTACTGGTTCAAGCCTTCTCTGTACCTGAGTCCCAGCCTCAACATTGGCTAGCTATGTGACTGCAGACAAATGGCTTGACTTCTCTGTGCTTCAGTTTATGATATTATCTATTGCAAAGATATGTAAGGAATCAAGCAAGCAGTGACCTCATAACACACCTAGTAGCAAGGGCCCCATAAACACCAGCAGATCCTAACTGCATTCTCTGTTAGGGTTTGGCTTGGTTTTGAAACAGGGTCTTTATGTGGAGGCCAGTTTAGCCTTGAATACGAGATCCATTTAAACCTCTTGAGTGCTGGGGTTACAGGCATGTACTACTACTCCAAGCCCTGTTAAGTCCATCTAACCCCAACTGAAAATTCCAACAAGGAGAAAAGCTGTAGTAACTCAAGCTGATTCTGCCAGGGAGAGCGGAACAGGAGTGAAGATGGTAACATCATAGAGGAGGGGGTGGGGGAGGGCGGACCAGGAGGGTCAGAGTAGGACCACCAGCCTTCTGCACTCTGCTGTCAGGTGGGCAGCTTTCTCTTAGCTGTTTTTTGTGCTGGTCCTGGGGTTTGAATTCAGTACCTGGGCACTGAATTCCCTGAGCTTTTTTGCTCCAGGCTGGGGCTCTACCACTGGAGCCACAGATCCACTTCCAGCTTTTTGGTGATTAATTAGAGGATAAGAGTCTCACAGACTCTGCTGCCTAGTCTGGTGTCAAACCTCCAGCCTCAAAATCTCAGCTCTTTGAGTAGTTAGGTGTTCAGGCATAAGCCACTGGCGCCTGGCTTATCTCTTAGTTTTGACCACAGTTCCAAGGGCAGAGATCACAGGGTCTCAGTCAGCTAGATCTCTTCCCAGCCTGGCCTCTCAGCAAAATATCCTGACTTCTTCCCTGATTCCTGCCTGCTTCCCTCCGTGAACAAACCCAGCCTTCCACCCGCAGTGTGCATGGGCTCTCTTCTAGATTCCCGCAAAATGCTTCCTGGTGGCGTTGGTGGGAGGGGGAACCTTCTGGCTCTCCACCCGCCAGCCGGCTCCCCAGAACCAGAACCGCAAAGGCCCTGTTGTTCTGCTAACTACAGGAAGCCTTCGGCGGAGCACCTGTACCGACAATGATCTTAAGTGCGTGTCTACTGCGTGCGGGGCAGTTTGTCACTGCAGCTAAAAGCAAGGTCCAATTTCACCAAGGGAGAGAAATATCAGGAAAAATGATGTTTCAGACCTGTGGAACATGATTTGGGCAAGGTGTGATTTGGGCCTTAGGGGTTAAACAGGGTGGCAAGGGAGGCCCAGCATACAGGGAAAGGTGAAGCAAAAGCTTCAAAATGAGAACAGTGGCCCCCGATTACCTAGGCCTCAGCGGGTGCAAAGGCCGGACTGCCCGAGGTGTTTCCAGCCCTTAGCGCTGCTAACAGAGTGGAAACCCTGTGTGTGTGTGTGTGTGTGTGTGTGTGTGTGTGTGTGTGTGTGTAGGGGGGTGAGTCGCTGTGACCTCCAGGGGACTGAAAAACCAAGCCCCAAACACCGGATCCCCCGCGGCAGGAAGCCACGCGCGCCAGCCTGACAGACAGGCCCGGGGACAGTCCTCCCACACGCTCCTCCCGCCCTCAGGCCACCGAGACGAAAGGCTAGAGAGTCGCCGCGCGGCCAAAGCCCCGCCCCTACCTGGCGGCCCGCCCAGTCGCGCCTCCGGCGGAAGCCGGAAGCAACGCGGGTCCCGCTAGCCCTACGGCTCCGAACTCGGTGGTCTTGGAGGCTCCGCCGGAAGGGGGACAAGATGGCGGAGGAGGAGTGAGTGGGCTTTTGCCGGGCGGCGGAGGCGGCAGGGCCGGGCCCCGGCGGGTGACAGCGAGCGGCGGCCCCG